TGTTTCTTAAAACTATCAACAGAAGAAGCATGTCTGATGTGTGGTGGGAGTTTGTTCCAAACCTTTGGGGCAAGAGAAATCTGCTTCCCCAAACTTTTTATAGTTTGTTTTTGGGATATTGAGCGAGCCAGCAGTAGACGACCTGAGGGAACGGTTTGGAATATATTCCGATAAACAGTCAGAGAAGTCAGAGTGTGCTGTACCATTAAGAGAATTAAAAACAAGTACAATAATTTTAAAATCAATCCTCAGTGATACTGGAAGCCAGCGTAAAGACGCTAAAACCGGAGTAATGTGATCTTTTTTCTTACATCTCGTTTTGTACAAGTTGTAGTCGATCAATGGATTTTTTCGGTAATCCTGAGTATAGTGCATTACAATAGTCCAGGAGAAAAAGTATAAAAGCATGAATCAGCTTTTTAACATCTTCCAGAGTGAGGTACAGTCTTACTCTTGCACAATTTCTTAAATGACATTTGTGACATTGTGTGTGAATTAAAATCAAGTTCTGAGTGAAGTGTAACACCCAGGTTCTTTACTTGCTGGTACTTACTTGTGCTACGGATAGATATAATTGAGCATCATCGGCATAACAATGATAGCTGACACCATGGTCACTAATAATGTTTCCCAGTGGTATCATATATAGGCAAAATAGTAATGGACCAAGAATGGAACCCTGTGGAATACTGAAAAGGTTATCATGCTGTTGTGAGACATGGTCACAGAGGCAAACAAAAGATGCCAGTGAGGTATGTGTTGAACCAGTTTAGAGCTGTGCCTGTGATACAATTCTAACTTTTGAGTTTGAATCAGGATAGATGCATTTTTCTTATCTGCGATCACTTGAAGATCATATGTTATTTTCACCAGTGCTGTTTCGCTGCTGTGTCCCTTTCTAAATGATGATTTTAGTTTATGATTCATAAGTAGGAATTCATCCAACAGTTTAAATATGGCCTTTTGTTGGAAATGGGTTGTTATGCGCAGAGTAATCAAGATTAGGTTTTTTAAGAAGGGGCTTAACCAGAGCCGTTATAAGTGCATCTGGACAGATACCTTTTTCCAGTGAGCAATTTGAGCAACGTCTCAAAGCTCGAGAATAAAACTGTCTAAAACCTCTTTAAAAAATGTAGTCGGGATTGCATCCAATGAGCATGTGGAAGACTTCAGTTGTGAAATAATGTTACGATGATCTGCTCCACTGATTTTTCTAAAAGAATTTAGAGTTGTCTGGGAAGACGTTGGGGTTGAGTTATTTGATGTATCTTTGGTGTTCACAATACTGGCACAGATATTTATTATCTTGTTTTCAAAAAAATCTGCAAACTCTTCACATTTTGATTGTGAGGCAGGACATGTATATTCGCGAGCTCTGAAACGGATTTAAAAGGTGATCGATTGTTAAAAATAAAAACCTAGGATTGTTTCTACTTGTTCTATTACTTCACAGAAATACGCCTGTCTCTCACAAGGATCTTGTGAGAATCCCTCTGTGGGTTGTCAATCTGCTTTTTCTCCACATTCTCTCAGCTCTACGGCATTCCCTCTTTAGCAGACGTGTTGTGTCATTTTTCCATGGCTTTAGTTTAGTCTGTGATTTCTTTTTTGATTCCTCAGGTGCCACACTGTCAAGAGCTGATCTTACTTTAAAGTTAAAATTATTTCCTTTGTCATGTATAGATTTAAAATCCCTGGGTAGAGCTTTGATTTTGATTTTGCATGTGAGTACAGAACTCGGCAGCCGAGGATAAACATAGATAGCATTTCTTAATGAGACATTCTGTATCATTTTGTTATTGATGATCAAATCAAAAAACAATAGTGATCTGACAGGTAAGTATCAAAGATCTTGTTAACAAAAATATCTACACCTCTAGTGTGTCGCCATGGTTATGAGTAGGCCTGGCAGTATGTTGTGTAAAATCCAAAGAGTTTTGAAGTTGCATGAATTCCATGGCCTTGCAGTGAGAGGTCACCAGTTATGATTATCCTGTCATGGTTAATTAAACAGACATTTCTGGTAAAAAAAAAAATGAAGCTACAGGTTTTGGAGGTTGATAAATAGAGATAAAAAACACTAGATTTTGACTTTCCAATCTAAAAGCTTGATATTCAAAAGATAAAAAGCTACCTAGACTGTGATGCTTGCATTTGAAAGTGTCCCCCTTTCTTTCCCTCACATATTGGAGCAGGGTCTTTGTTTAAAAGAGCCGCTCCATCTGAATTGAGCCACGTTTCAGTCGGGAAAATTAAACTGATAAAATCATTTATGATGAAAGTCTTATTAGTAAGTGCACGAATGTTTAAAAGAGCCGTTTTTACCTTCTGTCCATGTCTGAGCTTTTTGGCTGGGCTATGATTTTTCATTTACACGGTAATAAGGCCAGACCACCTCCTCGACTGCCTCTTTGCTTTTCTTTGTTCATCACAAATAAAATCCAATCTGGGAGTAATCCTGACAGGAATGTCAGAAGCTGTGGGTGAGGGTGTACCAGAGGCAGAACTGCAATTTATCCACAACGGGGAGCTAGTGGCAGTATGGGGAGCATGAGTGTTTAAAGTGGCAGAAGAAGTGCAGGGGGTGACAGGTGATGTACAGAGTCAGTCATGAGGGGTAGATTCATTGTCAATGAAAACCTGTGAACTGTATCCATGCTCATTTTCACATGCAAAGAAATCATTGTACGTTAGATCAGTATTTTGATCTCGTACTATAAAATGAATTAGTTTGATCCCAGTCAGTCAAAAGTAGTCGAATGACTAGTTGGTAAAATGATGCTAATACATTTTTTTGTGAGGCAGTGGAATTTACAGGATTTGCATTTGTGAATTTAAATAAAATATAAATTACAACAATGCCACCTTAAAATATAGGGCATTATGAAAATAAAACAATATGGCTAAAATGCACTTGTCAAACCTTTGGACCAAGTAACACTTTAAACACCAAAACACAAATTATTTGAATTGTCCTTCTTTGTTTCCGATAGGTATTTATAAGCTAGTAAACCTTTTTAATTTGCCATAACAGAAAAAGTAAAGGTGTTAGTATTATCCACAATGGCTCTGTTCTGTTTAAATGTCCCAGTGAACTATGATAGTGAATCAGTATGAACAAAAGGACCCTGAAACTGAAGCAGCTTAATGGAATTCAGTCATAATTCATGTTAATATTTACACCTGTGGTTTTCTGTCTAAGTTAAAATGTCTTCTGTGGAAAGATCTCAGTTTTTTTAATTATTTAAATTATTTTTTTAATCAGTAAAGCTCAATAAAATTAAAAAGATGGGATTTAGGAGCATTCATGACATTATGA